CACACACACACACACACACACACACACACAGTGATGTGTCAAAAATCCATAAATACACATTTTTTCTGGATGTGCATAATTTTTGAAAGGAGCTAAAAATATGCACAAAGTGTGTCAGAACAAACACCAATCAAACAGGAGAAACAGCCAGAAGTGGTTCTCACTACAAATTCTCTGACACCAAAGACACACTTCTTAAACACATTTAAAATGTCAGAGCTCTGGTGTAAATATTTAGTGTAATTTTATTCATGATAATTATTTTCAACAATGTGAAGGTAAAGCTACAAAAAATAATTTTATAACATTATAACCTTCTGATACACAGTTCTGTCAGATTTGGGACGAGTCTGATTTTGTATTTTTATTTTTGTGTCCATTTAAACTGCACCATGTGGGGGCAGTGTTCACTGCAGCAAAGCCAGAGGTGCAGATTAAAAAGTACTCTTCATACCTAATCTGACTGTTGTGTTGAAATGGCCATTTGCAGATTAAGAGACTACACATATAGTACTCTCATACAATCTGAAATTATTTAGGATCATCTGAAAGAAATTTCAATTTAATCTTTAAGTAAAGTTCCCCATAATGTACTAAAAARGTCAATGATAAAAAGGTAAAACACTAAAAAGTCAGTATTTTTAAAATGCATTTTCAAGTCATGAAATAATAGCACATGCCTGTAAAATTGCTCTAATATAAAACTACTTAGACAAAAAAAGTAAATGAGCTTAATGATTCTAAATTTTTGCAATGCTCATTGTGTTAAATGGTTCCCAGTTACACCAATTTATAGCTCAATGTCTGTAAAAGAACTGAGTTATAAMYATTTTGTGTTTTCTAAGGTCAGTTGCCTGTGGCAGATAATTTGAACTGGGTTGACTCCAACAGCTGTAGAGGTACATGAAGTGATTGCTWAAGAKTCATTCAAATCCATCTTGTGGTTCAWGGAAAAAWTTGCCAACAGAAAGACTGAACTGATCTCAAATAGTTGATGGTAAAGTTTTAAACAAAGACCCTGAACAACATGATATATTTTTCAAACAGATTGTTGGGAGATGAGTCAGATGATGCCAGAATTTACAGTTAGGTCCATATAAATTTGGACACTGACAAATTTTGTCTTTTTACCTGTTTATTGAAACATTCAAGTTATAGTTTTATCATGTACATGGACATAAAGTCCAGACATTCAGCTTTCATTTGAGGGTATCCACATTAAAAATGGATGAAGGGTTTAAGAGTTTCAGTTCCTTAACATGTGCCACCCTGTTTTTAAAGGGACCAAAAGTAATTGGGCGATTGACTCCAAGGCTATTTCGTGGAAAGGTGTGGGTAATCCCTTCATTATGTCATTCTCAATTCAGCAGATAAAAGTCCTGGAGTAGATTTGAGGTGTGGTGCTTGCATTTGGAAGGTTTTGCTGTGACGTAAACATGCGGTCAAAGGAGCTCTCCATGCAGGTGAAACAAGCCATCCTTAAGCTGCAAAAACAGAAAGAAAAAAAAACATCCGAGAAATTGCTACAATATTAGGAGTGACAAAATCTACAGTTTGGTACATCCTGAGAAAGAAAGAAAGCACTGGTGAACTCATCAATGAAAAAAGACCCGGGCGCCCACAGAAGACAGCAGTGGTGGATGATCACTGAATAATCTCCATGGTGAAGAGAAACCCCTTCACAACAGCCAACCAAGTGAACAACACTCTCCAGGAGGTAGAAGTATCAATATCCAAAGCTACCATAAAGAGAAGACTGCATGAAAGTAAACACAGAGGGTTCACTGCACGGTACAAGCCACTCATAAGCCTCAAGAATAAAAAGGCTAGACTGGACTTTGCTAAAAAAAAGAAAACATGTAAAAAAGCAGCAGAGTTCTGGAAGGACATTCTTTGGACAGATGAAACCAAGATCATCCTCTACCAGAATGATGGAAAGAGAAAAGTATGGTGAAGGCGTGGTACAGCTCATGATCCAAAGCATACCACATCATCTGTAAAACACAGCAGAGCAGTGTGATGGCTTGGGCATGCATGGCTGCCAGTGGCACTGGGTCACTAGTGTTTATTGATGAGGTGACTCAGGACAGAAGCAGCTGAATGAATTCTGAGGTATTCAGATCCAGACTGTGTGCTCAGATCCAGACAAATGCAGCCAAACTGATTGGTTGTCATTTCATACTACAGATGGACAATGACCCAAAACATAAAGCCAAAGCAACCCAGGAGTTTATTAAAGCAAAAAGTGGAATATTCTTGAATGAMCAAGTCAGTCACCTGATCTCAACCCAACTGAGCATTTCACTTGTTAAAGTCTAAACTTCAGACAGAAAGGCCCACAAACAAACAGCAACTGAAAACTGCCACAGTGAAGGCCTGCAGAGCATTAAAAAGGAGGAAACACAGCGTCTGGTGATGTCCATGAGTTCAAGACTTCAGGCAGTCATTGACAACAAAGGGTTTTCAACAAAGTACTAGAAATGAACATTTTATTTACAATTATTTAATCTGTCCAATTACTTTTGAGCCTCTGAAATGAAGGGATTGTGTTTAAAGGATGCTTTACTTCCTCACATTTTTATGCAATCATTTTGTTCAACCCACTGAATTAAAGCTAAAAGTCTGAACTTCAAATGCATCTGAATTGTTTTGTTTGAAATTCACTGTGGTAATGTCTAGAACCAAAATTAGAAAAATGTTGTCTCTGTCCAAATATATATGGACCTAACAGTAAAACAGCCATTTTCTTTAGTCAGTTGGCTGAGGCAGCCACATTGAACTGAGCTGACTATTAGTCAATCTGTAGTAGATGCACATCCATTATGTTTAAAAGCAGACAGGCACACAAACACACACACTGTCAGCCCTAACCTTATGTCTTAAAAATGAACACACTGTTAGTTTCAGTTTATTGCTACATGATGCAAGACACAGCACTCATTTACCATCAGATGAAATTGTTGCATAAAGAAACATTAACAACATTACTGTGATGGTGAACTGAGCTTTATTTGACATGTTACAGTATTATAGAGTGAAGATCAGAAAAAGAAKAGCAGTGCTGAACCACAAAGTCAAACTGAGCACATCAGGCAGAAAAAAAAATTAAAACCTGTGAGACATTTAAAGCTGATGCCACTTTCTTCTTAATGAGAACAAGAATTGAAAACATGATGAAAAAAAAGCACAATTTTGATTCCAGTTTGTTGGAAATGTTTACATCWGCTACAAAGAGTGAAATAATAGTAGAAATGCATCTTCACATACTTTTTTTAATGAAAACAAACTTCCAAAGTGTTAGAGAAATAATAGCACAAAGTTAGGCAACTGGAACGTTTCATTTTAAACTCAACAATACTCTGCAAGATCATTTCATCAGTGCATTGTTAACATGACTTAGAAAATTTAAGATATAAAAAGAATTACATCGTAAGTAAGTGTGAGCTTGGGGTCTTGCTAGTGAGAAAGCTGAAGCTAGTGAGGGAACAAAAAATAATTATTACACACTACCACTGTTTGACGAGTTGTCTTTCATCAGCAAACATCTTTACAAAGAACAAATTAGAAGAGCCCAAAGTGCTGTACATTTAAAAGTGAAACACAGCCAGGATTCTTTTGAATACATCCCATAATTAGGGACAAGTTAGCTCTACAAACACTGAGATCATAGTGGCTGCTTTTTACAGGGCAGAAGCTGGAATAATGAAGTGCTTCTCGGTGATGTGAATTAATATATTATTAATATACACAAAAGGTTTGTTCTTAAATTCATCTTTATGAAGCACAAAATGTTGGGAAATGTTTATTTTAGTTGCTTTGAAAGACATAACTCATCTTGTAATACATGACGCACAAACTCAATACTCAGTTTGTGAAACGAAACATTGAAATATTAATTAAAGCAGTTTTGATATATTTAGAAATTGTGGACAGAACGARAGACAGGATTAGCTTAATGTTGAAGACACAAAACAGACAAAAACATTTTGTAGTTTGWGAAATGAAATATTGAAATGTTAATTCTGGTAAGATACGTTTTCAGTTTGTAGACAGAAGACACTGAATGAGCTCAATGTCTAAAAGACAAAACAGACAAAAACATCACATTGACTGTTAGTCAGAGATAGTTGCCTTTTTCTCAAGAAATAAATTTATATTTTGCTGAGATCCTGGTCTCCTTAGAAATAGCTAGACAGTTTTTTTTACAGATTTGCAATACTTAGCTCTTTGAAATGTGATTATTCCTAACAGCAAATATCTGACCACCAATTTGTTGACAAAATATTTTGTTGGGAATGTTTAACCATTAGAAAATCTTAATAAATCAGACAAAATAACATTAAAARTCTTCATAAATTACCCTAAACAATAAAAAAAAATTCAGAACTGGGACTGTTTGCAGATCATTTCAAGTCAACTTGTGCACAACAATCATTAGAGTTAGAGCAAATGACAAAAGCAAAACACATTTTGGAGSGTTTTACTATAAACTACAGTTTTGTTGCTGACATGAAGCTTAAGGTAAATGGGAGAATTAAACATTCTGCAGAAAGTTTCTCTTCCTCTTGCCTCTGCGTAATGTGTTGTTGTCATCAAGAATGAGATGCACCGCAGTACAAAAACCCAAAACATAAAAATGTTATCATTGTTAACAAATATTAATAAATATTTTTTTAAAGAACAACATCTGAAATCCTTCTCCTGTGCGGTGACTGGTGAATGCTGACACCCCCAGCCCAGCTGGTTTTGGCAGTGGTTTAACATTTGTGCTTCATGGCAAGCTGTAGAAAAATTGGGATGAGGGGGTTGCAGAATAACAGTGAGAAAAATCAAGAAAGGCACCTCTCTGCATTAATAAATAGCCCTGTCTGCAAAAAGGTACCTAAAACCAGAAAATGASTGAGTGAGAAAGCATGCAGCATGACACCAGGGCTATTTCACACAAATGAAAGGGAGTCAGTCTATTTTTCTTTTTAATTCAGGCTTTCTGGAACTTAATCTGTCTTATTAATAGTGGTTATAATTGGCTTTATGGGAGGCTCATTAGGGAAGTAACTAAAGTAACCAATCTAATACAAAGCCACAGGGTGTGGAGATGTGAAAAATAGCGCGAGCACACACACACACACACACACACACACACACACACACACACACACACACACAAAGAGTATGGAGTCTGCAGCTGTGGAACAGAGAACAGAATTCTACATATCGATCCAGTGGGGGCAGTAGAGCATCACAGAGAAATTAGAGGTTTTGATTAAAACTGAGCAGTGCAGTTAAATTGTCTGCAGCCAAAATGTAAGCTGCAGGAATGAGATTGCAGAAATGAGCCAAGAAGAAAAAGAAATAAGAAAAAAAAAAAAGAAAAAATCAAGGTGACCCCTTCTCACAGCACTGCAGATGCTTGTTGCTGCACTTGAACAATAAGTAAAGCTGGTGTTTGCTCAGGTACATTTACACACAGCATGAAGTAATGACTTCARTGCAACTAAGGTGCATTTATAAGATCAATGGAAATTTATTTACATGATTTTGTAATTAAATAACAGTTTTCAGTAGATATGTAATTACAAGGATGTTCAAGAAGCAACTTTCTGTAAAAGCTTATAGCAGTGTATGCCGATCTGTCCTGTACAGGAATGCTTGCTTCGGTATATTTTCAGACAAAACATTTTCCACTGAGGAATCAATCAGATTATTTTAGCACAAAGCCTCGGATAAATAGTATACAACTTGGTAACAAGGTGCAAGACAAGCGATGAAGTCATGAAGCAAAGAAACAAAGGTAATCAAAGCAAATGAGAAAAAGAAGCAAATGAGAGATTCACAGTGACATTTATGCTGTTGTTTTCTTCAGAGATCAGTATTTCAATGTTTTTYCCCCTTGCTTATCATACTTTTCACCTTTGTCCCAGTAGGGAAGCTCATCTGTGATCAGTAAGGAAATCAAGCGAGGCTGTCCAATCATCATAACATCACTTCTGAGGTAATATGCATAACTCTAAAACTGTTTTGGTAACAAAAGTTGACAAATGACATCAGTTTGGTATTCATTTCAATATCAGCTGCCCAATTTTACAGCAAAACTGGAATCAAGAGGTGTTTGATCTACAGTGTATTGCTATGTTTATCACAAGTGCTTGTTAAAAATATTTAGTTTATGAAGAAATAAGTAGGTTTTTAGCCTCATTAAGCAGCATGCAGTTGTTTTTTTAAGTAATACGAGTGTGATGGAGGATGAAGAAACATACAGCAGAAAACTACAGAGTAAGAGGGTTTTAGTCAAAGAAAACGAAATTCTATTCCAGATCATTTTAATGTTAAATATGCAAATCACAATTAACATCTGTATATATTCTTAAAATTAGAAGTGTTGGTCTTTTTTGTTAAAAAAATAACAAAAACTGTATATTGCATATTAAATGTGAAATTTTACTACAACCTACTAAAAAATATGCTGCTACTCTGTTGTGCATCGTTATGGTTCCCGCTTGTATTTTTGCCTCACCTTGTGTGCAGTAACTGCAAACTGTTCAGCACTGTTCATCATGTCTGCAGTCCTCTCCTCGGCCCGACCTAATCTCTCACCGCGCTCATTCAGTGCCTGGCTGGCCTTCTGTACAGCACTTGTCACACTGTCTGCTGCAGAGTGTAGTATACTGTTACCTGCAGAAAAGAAAGGGAACAAAGCAGCAGGAGAGAGAGAGTGAGCGCAAGCAAACAAAAGAAAAGAGAAAATGTGTTTCTTTAGAAGACGGACTAATGCCAGAGAAAGGTGTCATTAAGGAATGTGTAACAATAGATCACAATCAGTGCCTCTGACCAATGATGAGGTAAACCCATAAAAACAAAATGATTTCCAGCAGGTGCTGAGTTGGAGGGTGGCTAATAAGTTTGCTTCAAAGCTAATTTACTTTAAAGGATGATCAAATAAACCTTGCTGTACTTGAAAGTATAAAACGGACAATGGTCTCTTTATGAGAAGTGGTCTGAGTGTCGAATTCAGCACTGCCTTGACTCAATTTTTGACTTTTGAGGCAACTTTTATTACCCTTTCCCAAAACGCATTCTGATAAAAGATTGTTAGCTGCTTTTGCCCTCTGGAAATCCAGGAGTGGATATCAGACAGAAAACACATCTTCAGAAAGCTRTGGCAGCCCTGTGGGTGTTTTCTCYGACAAGCCATTAATCTACCACGTTGGGAGTTCTGTAAGACTACTTCATAAAAACTCAAAAGGAGCTGCAACTTTCCTGCTGCTCTCTTCTTTTTTTTTTCTTCTCATTTTTCAATTGCATTGTTCCAGTGGGGTGTATCCTGTCATTTTATAGAGTTGTACCTCAGGGCAGCTCGACCGTTTAAGAAAACATCTAAAGTGCTTTTGGTCTTTCACCTACTCAGACCTTTTGTCGTTCATACGAGGACCTTCAGTCAATTATAGACATGATACATGTGTAATAGCTTTGAGAAAATAAAACAGGGGAAAAAGTCTGAGGGTACAAAGTGTATTAGAAATAGACAAGCCTGGTTCTATAATTTCCTGAAAGGAAACTGCAGCATAGTAAGAGAACGTCCCTGACTTCAAGACAGGTAGGCTGAGTGACAGATAATTAGAACAGCTCCGCTGCACTGGATTATGTGACAGCCCAAAAACAGACGGCGAGGCCAGCTGGCAATCCTTCAAAAGAAGTTAACTTGGTAAAACAAAATTATTTATGTAGAGTCATGCCTGTGCTGCAGACACACAGATGTGTATATAGATGTTCATACTCACACTCAGACAAAATGAAACGGAAACACATGCGCATTCAGTTTGGGAGAGATCATAGTAAATGAATCACYCTTCACATGTAAAGCACATCTGGACCTTGGATGAAATAAGCTTCTGAGGTCTTGGAAAAGAAAAAAATGTGTTTTGTGACCAAATATTACCAAGGTGATTTAGTTTGCACACAGCTAAACCAATTTTGTACTAAACAAACTCTCTGTGAGGTTCTGTATCATCAATAAAAACTTTAGGGCCCTTTTCACCTTCAGACAGATCTCTCTTAATCCCCTCCTTCAGAGCAGCTGTGGGAGTAATACTCCCATCGTCCTCAGAACACACACACACACACACACACACACACACACCTCTCCTTCCACTAAAAACATTATCTCCATTTGTTTATCTGCCCACAACTTTTTCCTTTAACCCGCCTGAGCCTTTGTCTATTCTGGGACACCTGTGGCAGGCTGTAACTGAAGTATACTGTCGAACATAATCAGAGAAATACAGGGTGGAGATGCTGCAGAGGGTTTATAATGGAGGGGATGTGGTGTTATCAAAGGCTAAGAGCAGAATGYCATGTGCTGCCATCACTGTGATTCAAACAAAGTCTCTGTGTCTCAACTTAAAGTGAAATGGCATTCATTTCACAAATAATAAAAAAGAACGACAAACTTAAAGTCAATCCAGAACGCATGTTATGTTTTTCCTGTTAGAACACTAAAGTAACACAAAATAAAATAAAAAATAGAAGGCTTTTGTGCAGCTTTTGTGAACTCATTTAGCTGTATCCCCAACACGCCCCTCTCCACAATGAATGAGGAATTTTATTATTACATAAAAAATTTAACAATAGAAACTGAGGAAAAAATAAACTAGAAGCACTAAGTAAAAGACAAACATAACCAGGAAGTGTGACCCTTCCCCCTCTCCGGTACAGCAGAATCTCAGCAACAGATTACAGGCTGGACTCCTGTGATGCTTCAAACATAATGCTTATCAGTTGGAATATCATGTTGACAACACTTCAGGGGATTTACGAGATTATATTGTTATCATAAAAAACAAACAACGCCTACATGAAAAAGAAAAATCTATCCAACAATTCATGCTGTGATAATTTTAATATTTTCACTCTGACAGCGGGTGTGATTGTATCATCGCTGTGCTGGATTATGCTTTAGGGTACAACGTGGGAGTCTTAAAATGTGTGTCTTACAATGCTTTTCTTCATGCAGTGATATGCACAGATTTTTCAGCACTCTTAACAGGTTCCCTCATAAATTCTCAGTATCACTAAATATCATGGATAAGGCTGCTGGTATTCATTCGAAACAACTTTTGATGCAAAACTTTCTGAATAATTCTGCTGCCAGTTTTTTTTACTTTAATTTTCTGACTTTCATCCCATCAAAACACAATCAGTTATAACCAAAAGCATTTTATTTTTCATTTGCAAAGCAGCAACAATAACATCTATGGTAACTTATTATTTTTTGTATATTCAACACAAAAAATAAATAAAACATAGTATGATGGAATTTTGCAGACATTAACTGTATACATAAACAAATCATGTCAACCACTTAGGGGTACAGTTCTGGCGTGGTTCAAGTCATATTTGACAGACAGGAGCTACTCTGTTAATTTAGATCACTGTTCCTCTGCCAAAGCACCTTCAAAGTATGGGGTCCCTCAGGGATCAGTTCTGGGCCCTGTTTTGTTTTCACTGTATATGCTGCCTCTTGGACACATTTTTAGAAAGTTCCATGTTTTTGCAGATGATGTACATATTTAAATGCCTTTAATGGGGAAAAATAAGGATAATTCTTTACAGTCTCTTTTAGACTGTTTAGGTGAAGTGAGATCATGGATGGACTCAAACTTTCTCCATTTGAATGATAACAAAACTAAAGTCTTTTTATTTGGACAGAAAAATACCGGAAGTGACCCTGATGCAATATCTTTATCTCCATTTTATCAGACAGCTGTTAGAAATCTTGCTGTTGTCTTTGAAAGTGGATAAGCAAGTGAATTCAGCTGTCAAATCAGGCTTTTTCTGTTTACRTCTTTTAGCCAAGGTGAAGTCTTATTTTTGTTTCAGAGATTTTGAAAAAARTATTCATGCCTTCATCACGACACGTTTGGATTACTGCAATTCATTGTACAAGGGCATAGATCAGTCCTCCTTRCGTCGTCTCCAATTGATTCAAAAATGCTGCAGCATGACTTAACTGGTACACGGAAACATGAGCATACAACACCTGTGCTGGCTTCATTACATTGGTTACCTGTGTCTTATAAAATTGATTTTAAGATTTTATTATTAGTTTTTAAAGTTTTGAATGGCCTTGCWCCAACCTATCTACAAGATCTCCTTCATGTTCACTCTTCATCCAGAACATTGAGGTCGAACAACCAGATGSTTCTTGATGTTCCAAGATCCAGACTTAGGAGCAGAGGTGGTTGTGCTTTTGCTGTATCTGCTCCCAATCTATGGAAAAACTTGCCCATTCACATTAGATCTGTTCATAGCTTGGAAAACTTCAGTGCTTCTTAAGGCTCACTTTTACTCTGAGGCATTTAATTAATACTAGAACTGACATTGTAACTTTTATCTGTTCTTATTATTGTTCGTTGTAACTTATTATGCATTTTAGTAATTTTTGTGTTGTTTATAGATTGCTGTGCAACACTTTGGTGCAGCCATTGGCTGGTTTTAAAGTGCTTTWTAAATAAAGATTGACACTGACATTAACCAAAGCAGCTTATAGCAGGAAAACAAAGTGAACAATGTTGGCTGATCAAAAGCTGGCATTTACAAAATAAATCAACATTTTGTAAACTTTTACACAGTTTTAAATGCATAAGCAAACACTTTCACCAAAATTAGCATTAAGTTTCCTCAACATTAAGATCCTATCCATCCTATTCAATCTGGCTTTAGAAAAAGTACTGAACAGGCAGGACAGAAAGTAAACAAAGAAATGTGTAATGAATACCAACATCATCAGCAGCTCTTTAAATTTCTCTAAATAATACACCTACACAGGTGATTTAGGTAACAACAATGTTRATGCACAAATTTAAATAGATTGCATGTAAAACAATATGGCACAAAATGAGAACCTAAAAAAAGGTTTTAAAAACCTTCAAGACATGACAGCAGGCTAGGCACAGCAAGACTGCCTCTGCTGCAAGAAAACCCTTTACTGCAGTTTAATTAATGCAAATCTTGACACTACCAGTAGCAACATAATGAAACTATAGAAGAGGTTCAGAGAGGGCACGTCCCCTGGCTCATCACAAATTTTCTGTAGTTTTTTTTTAATTCAAACCATTTTTCTTCCCACATTCTTCTTGTAGTTTTTTCTATTCCATTCAACTGCCTCCCCTTGTTTAAAAATTATGTTYAACTCTATTTTAACCGTTTTTTCTACAAATTATTTGAACCTTTACTCGTCAAGACATTATTTAAAATACTGTATTGCAATCTGTTCTATGGCACATCTAAAACTCATCTTGTATAATGACTTGCATTCATTTCATTCTATATACTCAGCTTCACTCTAGCTATTGAAAACATTGTAAAATATGATCCAGCTCTGAGATTTGCAACCTAATTACTCCATAAACCATAAATCAGTAATCTAGATTTCYTCCAAGGACCTTTTAGTGGGAACCATTGATTTCCCTTTTTTCAATACATTACTACAGATAYGTGTAGTTTAAATCAGCCCTTTAATCTTTTGATTAATCACCTCATCTACCTTTTAATCATTAATCAGTTCAAGAAAAAAAGCTTCCACAGGGCACTAAAATACTACTGGGTACAAGGATGGAACATTACATCCCAAAAAATACCACATAGTTTTATCAGCATTGACAGAAAAGTACTTTCTAAATATTCATGAACATCCTCTTTACAATGGTTTTTAATCAACAGATGAATGTCATAATCACACGGTCATCAGTTCCAAAGCTTACATGAAYATTTGCAACATGCTACACAGCAGCCTAAAACAATTAGGCTCCAATAATGAAGCACAAAATAATTGTGCTGCCCTTTGATACCAGATTGTGATTTCCCTCTGTACAACATTTGTCAGTGAGTCTGCATCCAGTCTGACAGTGAGGGGGTGAGGAAATGGAGGGCGTGACTCATAACCTTTGGATGTRCACTTAAAATCCCTATCAGCATTTGCTGAACCCCCACACTGACACACACACATAGAAGGAAATTTGTCCTTGGGTTTAAAGGGAGCAGATAAAAAACAAATGACAAACAGGTCTGTTGGTGCACTGCCTCAAGAGCAAAAAATCCCACTGGTCATGAGATAGAGGATGTTTTAYTATTTATCTTTTTATTAAAATTGCTTAAAATAAGATAAAGCTTGTTTGTCCTCTTTTCTCTAGGCAAGGTTACCTTTTTTGCAGAATTAAAGAACTACTTACCAAATAGCAGAAAGCATACTTAACCCCTCATTTCAGTTATATATATTTCTTTTGGATAGTCAGATAGAAATGATGCAAGAAAAAAAATTTATACAAGACCTAAAATTCACATTTTATTAGGCCTAAATTTATTACATTTTAATTCTTACCTTGTTTTTGTTTCATCTTATGGTCATCTTTCCTCATTCTGCTCAAAAAGATCTTGCAACGAACAATGGCCAAACCTAGAGCTTGGCCTTCAGGGATGACAAAACAGTCATATTTAGCTTTTATGCTACAGTCTTGAAATTAGTATGGAGGTTAATGTTTTTATTACTATTAATATTAATATTAAATTATGAGTCAAGCATTTGAATGATTGTTACTGCCCATCTTTAAAAGTAGTCAATCATCTATCCTAACAGCTGAGATGTTAACGAGAACATCTGTAGATTTTAACCCAYATTTATACTTAGATTTAATTCTTCTCTTACTGAGTCTCAGGAAAACATCACACTAACACTCCTCAATAAGACAATGCTAGAGTGAAACTAGATGACATATTTGTGTTTATCTTTCCAYTACCAACAGGTACAATGAGGAGAAAAGCTCTGATGGGAAGTGAGTAAAAACAAACCCTCAGCAGATAACAAGGCAGTCTAATGAGCCTTTATTTCTAGACCAATTACGTGCCTTGTAAAGGTAAAAAATGTATGGGCCCTTGCATCTTCCCCTTACAGCTCTTTTTGTTTGTTGATACATTCTGTTCWGAACCTCTCAGAGACGGATGCTATCCTAAAGAACTCACTATGGACTAGAAGAAAACTGTAAAACTCATTGGTATGACAATGACTRATGTGTGCAGATTATTTATTTGGAGGAAATCATGAACCGCTACAGTTTCTTCACTGTTTTTAGTACACTATGTCCCACTTAGTGCAGTATAGTTTGAGAATTCATAGTACAACACATTAAATTTATTTTCAATATGTTGAAAAAAATGTTGAAAAACGTATTGTTTACCATAGAATTAATAAAGTTTGAACATCGCTTACTGTAAAATTGAACAGAATCAGACTATTGGGTCAATAAAGATAGTAGTACTTTACCTACAGTGAACACCGAGTAAAGAAATGAGCTGTTTGATAGTCCAAAAGCCTGCAATTTCAATACTATCAATGACTATTATGATGAATCATTTGAAATTAAACTGATTGTCCAAATATATTATTGGCATGTTGAACATAAATGCACAGCATTTAAAAAATGCCAAAATATTTACATTACACTGATAAACATGACTCCTTTCAACACAAATTCAATAAATTTATTTCAGGAAACATTATTTGTTTTTTCAGGATCTGCAGATAAGAGTCTCCCACAGTTATGGTCCCACACCTGAGCAGCGTCACGATTTTTGTTTTGCACTGGTGTGAGACTTAAACTGTAGTGGACAGAACTGTCAGGAGGCAAGCTGTCTCTCTTTTCTTCTTATTGGAACATGTGAGAGTAACTGCTAACTTTATCATCAATCACACACAACTCCCTCCACACTTCCTGAGTGGTGAGTTCATCCCCAGATTAGTGGCCAATTAGATAGCTGCTTTACAAAAACACTTGTCTGACACACAAAGCCTGTTTGAAATAGTACAAATGAAAAAATATAATTGTGTATCTGCTGGAAGTGTGTAGTTGATATCCAACATTTGTACTCCATAAATTATTCTGCTCTAAAAAGCTCTRAGTGATGTGCTGCTTGAGGAGTCACAATCTTCCCTCCTACACATACAGAGACTGAGAATGCACCAAGGTCAGCCTCAAGAATGTTAAATATGGTCATGGTTGTGGGTGTAGGAAGGAGGTCGAGGCAAAGTAGCAGAAGATATGGCAGCTTTCTCATCAATGAATAGATAGTCAGTTCCCACACACATTGAGAAAAGTAGAAAGCGGAAACTTTAAAATAACTGCAAAATCATCTTCTCACCTCTCTGCAAGGCTTTATATTCAACAATTACTTAACTAAATRGAAATGATCTAAAATGCCTTGTAGAGGTAGGGCAGATTTTAAGGCAGATTTTAAGGCAGTTTCAATAACTTCTTTTATAAATAATAGAACAGGCTAAATGATGTTCAGAGGGATTCAGATTCAGGATCAACAGATCAATATCTGACAAAAACAAGCAGGATGCTGCATTTTCAAATGCACCATCAACCTTCCAGTAACCTACCTTTTTATGTATGTGTAAAACAAACAGCATGTAAAGAAYTGCTTTATTAGCTTGGTCTTATAAATCAAAATCCCTCAGCAGAGGAGACATTAGAATTAAACTGAGTGTTTCACCACAGTCTCTGATTTAGTAATGGGGAAATGAAGTCTGTTACAGCAAACACGGCATAATATGTTTTGTTATTTTGAGAGATGAAAGTTAAAAAATGAGTTTTTCATATACAGAAAATACCATAAACATGTAAAAACATAAAAGCAAATGTATAACTCCATGCCATATGTGCTGTAAAACCAGTTTCTGTGTCAGAGAGTTTGAGTCAAAGCTGACGTATTTAGCTGGACACCCTCTTTATGCTTCAACAGAGCACAGAGCAGCTGCTGTGTCCAAAATTTAAGCAAACATTTTTATACACAACAGGTGCTGGATGTCTGCACAAATAATTAGATTCAGACTGGCTTACAGCACAGACTTACATTAGTAAATATGGCAGTGAAATACCAATAAATGACATTCACAAATGAAAGTYAGACTTTTTTTCGTGTCTTACCCCCGAGCAGCTTTGACTGACAGTTGACAAACTCAGGTTTCCGAGAYGAGCAGTAGCGTTGGCAGGTGTGGTGAAGAATCTGGATAAAGGTGCACTTCTCTCCTGCTGAACTTGCAACCCACTGATCCAAACCATTGTCAAACACAAGGTCAAACTCTGGACAGTCCTTCCAGACAAAAGAAAAAGAAGAAACAGTTACACRTGTGGACAAAATTGTTGGTACCCATCATTTAATGAAAGAAAAACCCAAAATGATCACAGAAATAACTAGAATCTGACAAAAGTAATAATTAATACAAATTCTATAAAAATGAACAACTGAAAGTCAGTCATCGCTTTTCAATCATGCTTCAACACATTTTTTATTATTATTATTTTATAAAACTCATGAAACAGGCTTGGACAGAAATGATGGTACCCCTGAAAATAATGTGACCAAAAGGACATGTTAAATCAAGGTGTGTCCACTAATTATCATCACAGGTGTCTACAGTCTTGTAATCAGTCAGTGGGCCTGTATATAGGGCTACAGATATTCACTGTGCTGTTTGGTGACATGGTGTGTACCACACTCAACTTGGACCAGAAGAAGCAAAGGATAGAGTTGTCTCAGGAAATTAGAAAGGAAATTATAGACAAGCATGTTAAAGGTAAAGGTTATGAGACCATCTCCAAGCAGCTTGATGTTCCTGTGACTACAATTGTACATATTCAGAAATTTAAGATCCATGGGACTGCAGCCAACCTCTCTGGACATGGCTGCAGGAGGAAAGCTAATGACAAATCAAACAGATGGATAATAAGAATGGTAAAAAAGAGCCCATAAAAACATCTAAAGAGATTGAAGGTGAACTTCAAACTCCAAGAACATCAGTGTCAGATCTCACCATGTGTCGTTGTTTGAGCCAAAGTGGACTCAATGGGAGACGACCAAGGATGACAAAATTTTTGAAAACAAATTWAAAAAATAAAAGCCAGACTGGAATTTGCCCATCTACAWGCTGACACAAAGCTTCTGGGAGAATGYCCTCTGGACAGATGAGACAAAAATGGAACTTTTTGGCAAGGCACATCAGCTCTGTGTTCACAGAGGGAAAAATGAAGCATCAAGAAAAGAACACTGTCCCTACTGTGAAACATGGRGGCTCTGCTATGTTCTAGGGCTGCTTTGCTGCATCTGACACAGGSTGTCTTGAATCTGTGCAGGGTACAATGACATCTCAAGACTATCAAGGGATTCTAGAGAGTAATGTGCTGCCCAGTGTGAGAAAGCTTGGTCTCAGTCGCAGGTCATGGGTCTTGCAAAGCACAGCTGAAAACACCCAAAAATGACTAATGGACTACTCTGAAGTGGGCTTCTATGAGCCCTGACCTAAATCCTATTGAGCATCTTTGGAAGGAGCTGAAACATGCTGTCTGAATAGTACCCTTCAAACCTGAGACAACTGGAGCAGTTTGCTCATGAGCTGTGGGCCACAATACTTGCTGAGAAGTGCAGAAGTCTCAATGACAGTTACAGGAATTGTTTGATTGCCTTGAAGTTTGTGCAACAAAATATTAAGGGTACCATCATTTCTGTCCAGGCCTGGCCTGTTTAATGAGGTTTTTTTAATCTGTTGAAGCATGGTTGAAAAGCAGTCTTACATTCATTTGTTGATTTTTATAGAATTTTTTTGTTTATTATTACTTTTGTCAGATTCTAGTTATATCTGTGACCATTGTGGGTTTTTCATTCATTAAAACGAGGGGTACCAAGAATTTTGTCCACATGGGTATAAGAGTGTGTAGTTAAGAGAAATTGAAAAAATTGTGAGGAATAGAACTACTGTACCACAAAGTTGTTCCTTATCTAAGCAATCAACCGTAAGAAAGAAACTGAAATCTCATGTTTTCCTGGGATTCCCAGAAAGTACATAAGCATTCATATAAATTATTTTTAAAAAGACAACTGAATTACTAACTTTGTTGGCGTCGATGCCGTTGACCTGTCTTAGCTGGTCGATTGTCCACTGTGACCTTTTGACAAATGAAGAAGATCCTTGGAACTGCTTCACTTTTGTGATGGATACATGGGAGGGTTTCTTATTTGTCACTGAGAAACAAAAACAAGAATACACAATATGAGGCAAATGCACCAAAAATTAATATAAATTCTAAATTCTACAAAAGAAAAATTAGTTCCCTTTTAAACTTATTTTTGGCCATTCAGTTTTTGATTTTCTATTTTAAAAAATCAGGGTTTAGAGTTACATAAGCTAATGTGTTGATTTAGGAAAACTATCAGGATGAGATGTGTTCCATCAAAGCAACAAGATCAAAAAGAAAATTCAAAATTGACCTATTGCATTATTTATCCTCTACTTAATCAAACAAAATGTTAACAAGAATATTGTATTTACTGAATATTGTGCAAGTCTAGAGTATTTAGCTGCTCARCCATAAAGTAGCAAGTGAACATGGGTTTGACTTTATTATTCTGATCACAGAACATGCAGAAACATTACCTATGTGCTTGAACCGTACATAAAGCCAAACTTTCCACAACAGCAATTTAAAAAAACATGGATGTTTGCATATACCGTTCATGTTGAAAAAGAAAAAAAATAACAGAACTTTCTGAATAGGACAGATGTTTTGTCTCTTGCACTGCCACAGCAACATTTCATATATTCGTTTACCACAACCGTAACTGATGCTTCCTGTTCAACATGAGCMTGGAAGTCTAGGTTATGAATTTTCCGTAATGTGATGTTTGGCTCTTTCAACCCCAGAACAAAAACGCTGCAGAGAAAGGGAAGTGATTATCTTACATTCTCTACTCTTCACCTTTCCAAAAACAAACACTACCAGCTGTCAATTGTTTTCCATTTTTCCAACTGTACAGTTTCACTTCACTGAAGATGCACCACACCCATCTCTGGGAATGATTTATATAGGTAGGGCTGAATGTTTCATCACGTGATACATGTGGTCCGYAAACTCCCTCAAGACAATGGATGTTTGCTTATGTTCTGTGTCCATTTTGACAGCTGCAGTTCAGGTTCTGTTATTCCTGGATGGAATGAACAAACGGACATTCAGTCAGACCAAAGACAGGCAAGCTGACACATCTCATCTRTTTAAGAATGTATTAGTTGGAGAGTTCCAGCTGCTACACAGTTATTGATCAGGTTCATGAAGGGTAACAGACAGTTAATACGAGTGAAAAATGGATAAAGTTTATGAGGGCTATKATTAATCCATGTGCTGAAAGACAAAGGACTAGAAAYGACTAGAAACATGCAAAAGAATAAAGTTGTCTACAAAGTGTGGTCACATAAAACACTAYGGACTTCAGGAAAAGATTTGTGACAAATAGTAATCAAAGGTATAAACTAAAAAATACTTATAGCCTCATGACTTCACTACATATTTGTCCTGAGAACATTTTAGGCTAACAAAATATAGTAATGAGACAACAAGGACAGCTACTGCATGTTTGCAAACTRATACTGTTAAATAAAAGGTACTTGCAGAACCACTGTTACAGCATGGCTGTCTGATTTATATACTATTAAATAACTCTGAATCGTGTCAGAATGCTTTACAATCGCTACAGAAATGTAATAAACTAAATATGACATCAAGGGAAAAAAAACACTAATAACATTTTCTGCACACAAATGTGTTCCCATTCCTCCTGCTGAGATCGCAAACAGCATGACTCCATTTAAAATTCATGGTTTTAAAAACACTGAGGTCAAAACATTTATATTATAAGTTTTAACTCCTGGGGAAATCACTGTTGTTGTGGCTCAGCAGTTGTAAGATTTCCTACCTCCAGTGCATATCATGAGAAATGATAAAAATAAAACCCTGATTATAAAAGTGCATAATATACTTACACATGAGCAGATTTGACTGACATATTCTTGCATTGTCCGTGGCCAGCACACAGATTTTCTGAGGCTGCTTTCAAAACAATCACACGCTGACTCAATGATTAAAAATAAAAATGTTATACAACAATGGACAAAGTGATATGACAATGCAAAAGGTGCATAACAAATTCAATCTACATGATCAGTTTGTCAGCTCAAAGTCTGACAGCGCAGGATGGATTTTCATGTTACTTCTTTCTTCAATAACACTGTGACATTGCAGTAAAACCCAATCACTGAACTGCATCAGTGAAAATGCAAGACAGAGAAAAGAAAAAAAAAACATCTCTGGGAGCTGGAGTTGCCTGCCAACACATCAGCTCAAAAGTCTTAATAAAACTGCCAGACACCTTTGAGGCTCTCAAATCAATTTTGTTTTCAGCTTTGACTCCCACCTTGTCTGGCCTGCTTTCTTGCATATWAACAAAATTACTGAAAGCTGAAAAGAGCTTTATTGAAATAGCAATTAAGACGAAAGTGTTCAGTCAGGCTCTTCAAACTAAWTCAGACCAAGTTGCCTTTATGACAAGTATAATTAGAGTAAGTAAAGTTCAACAGAATTCATTTTTGTGTATGACGATGTTAAACAACTGTCAGAGTTTTAAATTTGGTGCCACAGTCAAACATTTACCCTAAATTATGACCTGAACAGAGTAGTAACATTAAACAGTTTGAATTCTTGAGGAGATATAAAGATAAACATCCCACAAAACGAAATTTGTCCGGCCCAGTTCTGGTTCACACAACGTTCGGCAAGATACCGCAAAGAAGGATGGCCCTACGGTGGCCCAGGTGTGGTTTTCCAGATGTGGTCCACGCAGGGCCTGCACCACATAAACCCAACCATAACCAGGTCAGGTAAGGCATTGACAAATTTGGGCCACATAAACCAAACCACAATTGGGCCAGTAGTGGCACATAAAAACTATGTCTTCATTGCCAGACCTGGCCCATATCTGGTTGACAAACCAATTGCCATGCCAGCAGTCAGCCATACCAGATTTGACACCAGATTTGGCCCACAACTGTCTGCTTTGTGTTATTCCCTATATAAAGGCTGCAAATAAAACTTGAAAACTCGATATCACACCCAGAACAAAACCTTAAACTGTTTTTAAAAAAACAAAAATAGGAAGTCTAAAACCATTGAAAATCTGCTAAACACATATTTTCCATCTATGTGGGTTGTCTGTCTGGGGAAGGCCATGCCTCCCCCTTTTTCTCATACTCTGATGGTGACATGCTCTCACTTCCTACACTGAATAAACCCCTTGTTGTTCCTGACAATGTGAGAGCGCCACAGTCRGAAAGGAAACTCATACAGTACACTTCACAGACTTCAAACAGGAAATGTTCTCAGGATCAGCTTACCCTCAAGGAATTATTATCATAGTCGTGGTTGTTAGTAGAAATGGGAGTAACAAGACCCTGATGACAGCATTAAAGCAAACTAAATATTAAAGCGGACCACCTACAAGGGCATAAATTAAAAACACATTATTTTACATGATACAACATAATTATTCCAATTCTGGAGGTTCAAGAAAATATCCATCCTAGTATAAGAAACATCATTTTTTGGGACATTCAAACAAAGCTTTGCAAAATTCTAAACCTCACATCAAATAAAAATCAACTACTGCTTTAAAAAATTGTGCTGCTTAACAGATCTTAATCTATGTTATACTGTAACTTATGGTTAAATATCAACAATATCTTCTTAATTCAACTGAAAAAATATAAGTTTGTTCTGAAAGCTTGACTTTGGTCTGCCAACTTCAAAAGAACATCCTCCAGATTTTGTCAAAKTCAGGTGTGCTTATCATCTCTTGACCAATCAACCCACCTGTCTTTGCACCAGCATTAAGTACATTTGATTGACAAGCTGATGTTATYTGAATGGATCAAAAACACACCAAAGCAAAGTAGGTTTATACAACAAAATATAAAACCCAAGGTCTTGTCTGACACTTCAAATTCATTTGAATTTCATTAGAAAAGTAGAAAAGGCTAATGAATGCTAAGTGCTACGCAACAAATAAATGTTGTAGCTACTCGTTTGTTTGGCTTGGCAAAAAACAGCTTATCCATTTGTATACTGTCAAGGGATATATTTAGAGATTGAAAATGTTAAAAGCAACAAGGCAGCATGACTCAAAATCACTTTCAGCCTTGTAGAACAAAAATTAGCTCTAAAAAACAAAGAAAAATCAGGTTGAGGCTGAAAAATCTGTTTTTGCTGTACAAAGCAATTATGAAATCCATTTATGTCAGTATGATTTAAAAAATCACCTCTTAGGAGCTTTTAGCTAAATTTAAATTTAGCTAAAACATCAACATTCACAGCATGTGTGCAATAAGCAGATTTTTATTCACATTCTGCAAATTCACTGAACTAAAGAAGCATCAACTRAAGCTACTTACGATGACATAACTCCATGTCTTTGCAACAGACTGAAAATGTATCATACTACATCTACAGATTACTTGCAAATTACACAAGTATTTGGTATTCCAGAAAAAGCTACCTCATCTCAGTACAGGAAAACACAATTTTAAAAGCTACACATCTATCAGAGTTTATGATTACAGCTGTTTAAAGCTGATCTACTCTACATCAACTGGATCATGCAGTTATCTTCAAACAGGTTTTCATTGCAATGAACACACGAACACGCTAGACCAGGAACAACACTCTGAAACAAAGCTCTCTGTAATCTTTCCAGTGTTTCAAAAAGACAGCAACTGTTGTATTCTGGGTTTTCTAAGGCTGCATTGTACCCATTCAGTGACATGGCACCAATAATAAAATGGGGTGCATTTACCATTGTGAACAATAGCTACAAAACAGATGAGCTCCTTACAACTGCTAGAGGAGACAAGGAACTCAGAGAACAGATGCCATTAACAAATCACACTGACAATAAATTAGTTTAACCTTGCAAAACAGTGTTTTTTAAGACAATAACAATGCAAGTTTTAATTTGAAATCGCRAAACTTGAAAAATGATTAATAACCATGGTGGGCACAGTTAACCAAAATATTAGCTTCACTAACACCTAAACCACTGCACAAACTTCTTAGTTTAGTTAAGGATTAAAAATTATTTCGATAAAATTATGGCAGAAGCTAAAGCTAAACTCCTAATTTATTAACATTTATTTAAGTGCA